CGCAGCCCGACCGGCAAAGGCACAACAAAACCAGGCTGAGGAACTGCCGCATAGCCGCCGACCCGGCCAAGGACCCGCTCGGCTCGGCACGGCACTAACTCAAACACCTGGGCAAAAGCTGCCGAGTCCGTACCGAGCTCCTCATCCCCGATCACAGAGCGCCGCCATCAGACCCGCCGAGCATGCCGGGAGGACTTCCGTACAACAACAACTTACAGCAGCCCAACTCCAAACCACATGGCCAAATAAAGTAATATTGTACCCCTAAACACTCAACTCCAAACATTTCATCAACTGAAACACTCCCAACAGTTAGATCCAACCGTTTCATCATCTCTAACTCTACCAAGTCCTCAACTTCAACCAATTTCTAACCAGAAGGAGCTCAAAAGGACATGGAAAGGTGAATGCAATGGGCAGACAAGTGGCAGACGTTGCATGAGCCATTGCCAGCTCACTCCATTGAATGAACTGCTGCTCATGCTGAAGGTTGCTGCCACCATCCTGATTAAAGTGTAGAAAAACCTCAAGGCTTTCTTGGTCTTATGTGGGAGAGGAAGACTTCTACCTAGTCTAACTAAAAGAGTCTCTTGTCGTGAATAAAGTAGTTTTACACATGCCAACAAATAGCTGTTACATTGTTGTGATAGACATTATTACAAAGACTTTTGAGAAAGATCTAATGTTAGAACTCATCCCATTGAGATCCTCAACTGTTCTACCACAAGTCTAGTATCACAACATTACATTGAGAATGTCTGTTGGCACTCCTTAACATTAATCTTTTCAGACCCATGTACAACATCAGATGGTATTTAAGGCAGAGAAGTAGGAAGAATACAGATATAATACAAAAGTTGCAATTCTAAACAATGTGCAGCAGAGGGACCAGCACATACATTTGCAAAAATAATTGATTTGACAGGACAAATTGAAACAGTGGCTAAGAAAATATATTGCACAGCGTTCTAAGTTTAATAAATACAACTTAAAGTACAATCACAATTACGTTATGTTAAACTTGTGTAGAACATTGGTTCGGTCTCATCCGGACTATTGCATCTTTTTTGGGTACCAGACTTAAGGAAGGATACGAAAGCATTAGAGAGAGCGTGAAAAAGAGTCACAGAATCCTCAGGTCCAAACCCATAATCACTACCATCTGGAAGGACAAGGACAGCAGATATATGGGGACACAACCACCAGGAAGGTATCCTCCAAGCCACCCACTATCCTGACTTGGAAATGTATCACTGTATATTTGTCAGAGGGTCAAAATTCTGGAACTCCCTCCCTAATAGTATTGTGGGTCTACCTACAAAGGGATTACAACTGTTCAAGAAAGCAGTTCACCACCACCTTCTCAGGGGCAATTAGGGATAGGTAATAAATGCAGGCCCAGCCATTGAAGAAGTTGGGGCAGTTTTCCTTACATAAGCCAGAGAGGGGATCTGACATGCTATTTAAAATGATCAGGGGTCTGTATCAGTAGATATGGAAAGCACTTCTTATTTGTGTAATGATGGAGTTCAAGAGAGCATAGATTCAAGATAATTGACAAAAGAAGAAATAGCAACGTAAGGAAAAGCTTTTTTTACGTAGCAAATGCTGCAGGTAGCGTCCTAGCCAAGGGCAGCTGCTTCATAACTGACCTTCCCTCCATCAGAAGAGGGAGTGTTCACTGATGATTGCACAACTTTCAGCAACATGTATGACTCCTCAGATACTGAAGCTATCCACAAACACTCAAGAAGCTCAGCACCATCCAAGACAATACGTCTCACTGATTGGCACTTTATCCACCACCTCCTCCAGCGTGCACAAGATGATGGCAGCAGAACAGGCATGTCCATTCCATCTACATTTCTGTCTTCTTTTGTTTATTGAAGTTTTTTTTAAGATTTTTCTCCCCCTCTACTTACTTACCTTCCGGAGACAGCTCGGTCACGGAGGTAGCAGCAGCAGCAACGGTATTGCGGCTTCATCGAGTCTAGAGCATGGTAACAGCTGGGGACCTAGATCAGAGCTTTTGGCAGTCAGCAGCATCGCAGCTCATTGTGGTCAAGAGTATGGCAGCAACTGGAGGCCAAGATCAGGACATTGGTGGTCAGCTAGTGGTCTGGTGCGTGGTTTGAGACTTTGACGGTTAGAAATTGAGCCCAACGCAAGAAGACCAAGCCCGACAGGGTGGCGAGGGAGGTCCCTAGCATCTGTGGTGACAGCGAGAGCAAACAGCCTGAGGTCTCCCGGAGAGTGGGCCAAAGCGGAGGTGATCCAGCCCTTGGAGGCAGTGCAAGCCCAGAATGGCTAAGCACTTAGAGTTGAAATTTTAACTATATTCTTTTATTTTTCTACTTGATACTAAGAAGACTTGAAATTTTAACTTTGTTACCTTATTTTTCAATTTTTACCTCACCAGAAATGATGGAATCATACACTTTTCACTGTTCTCATGTGCTTATGTACTTGAACACACATCACAATAAAATCTATTTCTAATTCACTTGAGCACACTGACAACAGTGTGTGCCACATACAAGATGTGCCGCAGTAACTCATCAAGGCACCTTTGAGTGCTTTAGGGTCCTAGATGATGTTATCACTGGACATGTCCGATCTCAGACTGAACTCTGGCTTGATGGATCAAATTTTGTTTTTCCTTCAGTTTAAGCAAGGTGATCTTTCAGTGAAACACAAGCCCAAGACTGCATTATTGCATGTTTTAACAATAAAACAAATTTATTATACAAAAGAAATAAAGATAAAATACAATAACCAAACAATTTACATTTTTGAAGATTTCAAAACACAATAAAGACAGTAAATAGAATGCCATTACAATACACAAATTAGACAGGATGCCCTTTTGCACCAACTGATGGTTTGACTTAGCTGTCGCTTCATTACCCAGTCATAAGAACTTGATAACCTCTTCCTTGATTTATCATATAATTGAGCATTAACTTTCCCAGCCTCAAATTACCTTTCTGGGGCTTTAACTGGAATTTTTAAACAAATCTCCTTACACTGAAGTAACCTATTTTAACACCTATATTTTCTTTCTTAGGAGCAATTACTGTAGATATCCAGCTTCAGATAAGAACCATGCACAACTGCCCAAACTGAAACTAAAGAATAATTTTTTTCAAGCTGTGGGTGTTTCTGCTAAGTCCAAAACTTCCCAGAATATCTTATCTGAAAATTTAGTGCACAACTCTGTTTATGTTCACTTGTAAACTCTCCCAATGTATAGAAATTCCCATTAGCCTCCAAAACTCACTCTCTCTTAAACTGTTTAAAAGACATCAACATTAACTATTAAGTATTTTTGTAGCAGTCAGCATGCTTTCCAGGCATCTTTCAAAGATCCAAACTAAAAATTAAATATTAAAATGCATGTAAATCCTTTACATTAGCAATCCCTTCCCTTACATCACATCACATTATCCAATGTGGCAGATGATTGGGTACACCACACCTGCTAGCTCCTCTCCAAGACATACACTGCCATGACTTGGAACTACCTTGCTGTTTCTTCATTGTCCCTGGGTCAAAGTTCTGGAACTCCCTCACCAACAGCATTGTGGGTGTACCTACGCCACATGGCTGCAGTGGTTGAAGAAAGCAGTTAGCGAACACTTTCTCCAGCATAATTAGGGATGAACAACAGATGTTGATTTAGCCTGCAACATTTTTTATTTTCTTATGGGATGACAAAATTCAGATATGTAATGCACTGCCTAAGAAATTGGTAGAGGTAGAAATGAGCAAGGTACTTATGAGGGAATTAAATCATTATCTGAAAAGGAAGTGTGGAGCAATCAAGTGGTGAGGCAGTGGTACACTGTGCATTGTTCCATCAGAGAGTCAGCACAGATATGAAAAGCCTCTTTTGTGCTTCAACCACACCGAGATTCTGTGAACTCAAGAAACTCAAAACAGTTGAATCAAACTCCCCAACTTCAGCCCAACTGCAATGACTTTAATCGTTCACAAATCTAACAAACTGCTGATGGTTAAGTGAATTCAGTTTAAAATTATAGAGTTCAATGTTGTACAGTTTGAGAAAATGTAAAGACAATAATAATTGCATTTCTATAGCATCTTTGATACAATAAATTGTCCTAACACAGTTGTCATATGGAAAGTACAAGATCAAGCACTCCTACTACAGCCGAGAAACAGTTTGTGTTCCCAATGCATGATACCATACAGATTTACAGTACCCAGTCACTTACCTCCTCAGACATTTATCAGTCACTGATGATACCTATGCCCTCACACTCAAATAGCCTATAGATACTTATTCCCCAATACACCTACACCCTGACACTTATCACTCACTCACCCACCCACCCACCTGTAACTAATCGCCTCTCCCTCACTTATCAATAGCTCCCACTAGACACTAATCCACCTCCCCTTCAACACTCACTTATCATCCTCCCATCTGATACTAACCCCCCCACCACCCATTACCTCCCCATGAGACTAATCACCTCTCCCTCCTCAATACTCATCCACATTCATCACCAGACCATTGTCCCACATCACCTCACCTCACTCCCCCCACCAACACGAAGCCCCTGACCACTCCTGCCCACCACCAACCCTGCCCTGTACCAATCCCTCCCTCATATGCCCCCAAATACTAATCCCTCCCACCACTTGCCACTTGCCACTTGCCCCACCCACCACTAATTCCCCCCCCACACCCACTTAATACCAACCCCCCTCTTCCCTTCACCTCACCTCACCTCCAGCCCGACAAATGACGCAACAAGAAAAGCCGAAAAAACAGCAGATACCATCAATGAGGAACACAAACACAAGGTGCTGGAAAAGCTCAGCAGGTCTGACAGTATCCGTGCAGGGAAATCAGAGTTAATGTTTCAGGTCAGGTGACCCTTCCTCAGAACACAACACAACCATGACGCAACAATGCTGCCCTGACCAATCGCGTCCCCCTGTTCCCGGCGGGTGTGGATCCGGGTCGTGCGGGTGGGCGGGGCCTGTCGTTCCGAATGTCGTCATCAAATTCAAAATAATTCACAGACAGTCAGGGAGCTGCTTGATGTCGGTCTGAGGAGAGTCACTGAGAGCGCGAAACTCGGCTCGAGTCCGAGAAACTGCGGCCGTTGGAGCTCCCTGAGAGGCGGAGAGGAGCCGGGGCCCGATCCAGGCCGGAGCCCGCGGGGAGGAGCCGGGGTTTGATCCAGGCCGGAGCCCGCGGGGAGGAGCCGGGGTTTGTGGCCTGTACGGGGCAGAGAGACGCCTCGGGTTTGCCCCGGGTTGATCCAGGCTCCCGGCCACAATGTCCATCTTCACTCCCACGAACCAGATCCGCCTGACCAATGTGGCGATAGTGCGGATGAAGAAAGCGGGGAAACGCTTTGAAATCGCCTGCTACAAGAACAAGGTGATGAGCTGGAGGAGCGGAGCGTGAGTATCTGATGGCCATGCAGCTAGCATTGGGAATTTAAACTTCACTTTAAAGTTTTAATTAGTTTGAAGCTTTAAATCAAATCAGTAATCTCTTTTTAAGTGATTCTTGTGTTTTTATAACCTGCCGGAAGGGATATTCTCTTTTGATCAAATATTCACACTTACTAGATAATATTTCTATAAAATGTGAATTAAAAGCATAATTTTTCTTATTATTTTGTTTGCCAAAGGTTTGATTTCCAGTTGGAGTTATGACATGGAGGCAGCTGAACCAAATCAGCCTTTTTACCAATGTAATTACAAAACAGTAAAATTAAAACATTCAGAGACCCTCAAAATTAACCCCAATGGTTCCTAACCAGACTTTTGAATAACTAATCCCAAATTCTATGAATAAATTAAATAACAAGGTAATCTTCTCCATTCTGAAGAAGGCTCACTTGAACCCGAAACATTAGCTGTGATTTCTGTACACAGATGCTGCCAGACATATGCTGAGTTTTTTCGAACAATTTCTGGGTTGATTTTTGTTTCTGATTTCCAGCACCTGAAGTTCTTTTTTTTTTAAAACAAAGTAATCTAACATGCGTGTGGTTGCCAGCCCCATGCACATCGAAGACATACAGATGAACAAAACAGTTGAGGGATAAATAAAAGAAAATAACAAAACTGGCCAGATTATTTGAGTGGTTTTCATGATGTATTGTTCCATAGGCATAAATGATGCCTTTTTTTTTGTTGATTTTCTGAACAAGTCAATAAGGATCAGCTTTACAGCTTTCTCAGATAATGGCAGCAATATTTATAATTTAGTTTTCTATTTTCTAAGCTTCGATGAGCTGTTCATAGGAGGTTAGGTAAGGAGCTTTCAAATGTTTGTGCTGTAGCATCAACAGACTCCTTCTCAAAGAAAACACAAATTCCAACTCTGACCACTCCCTGACAGACTGGCCGTCTCCTCAACGAGGTTCCAGTTACTGTTCAACATCTACCATCTGCTTAAGTGTAAGGTTTTTTTCAGACTTGCTTCCAGGTACTGATCTTGTTAAAAGTTCATTTCTGCTGTCTGTTTAAACATAATGCTCTTCCCTGCTGACAAAGAGTCTGCAGAATCTTTTGACCAGGAACCAGTCTGGAATTCACTTCACGAATAAACAAAAGCTTGCTTGGTCCTTTTAACATAAGCTGTTACCCACAGTCCAAAAGTCATCTTTAGGTCGCAATTTCTAGATCACAGCTCCAAACCAATATTGATAAAAGAATAGAATAAAATAATGAAAAATCAATGAGGGCTTTAACAGGGCCTTAATGGGCCTTAACAGAGTCCAGCATTAAACATTTGACTTGCATCTGGGGAAGAAAAAGGATAAATGGTGATAGAAATCATTAGTAATCATCTGTGATGGTTTAGGTAGCTTAGAAAGGGAAGGATCTTGGAGTTTAATTATGTATGAGTGAACATAGTTCTCCTTCTCCAACATAATATTATGCATTTTCAGTGAAAAGGATCTTGATGAAGTTCTTCAGACTCACACCGTATTTACAAATGTATCAAAAGGACAGGTGGCAAAGAAAGATGATTGTATTGCAGCATTTCAGACAGATGATCTGACGGAAATATGTAAACAGGTTAGTTTTGATAATCTACTACTTAAATATTCATCAAGAACTCAACTTTTTAATGCATTTGTTTATAGATTTATTTAAATTGACAGTCTTTTAGATTGACATTAATGGTCTGTGACCTTACTCGCAATAAAGCGGAAGAATATGCTTTATTATTTGTTCATGGAATGTAAGCTTCGCTGGCATTGCAGTGGGTATCTGTAATTGCCCTCAAGGTGGTGATTTCTTCTTGAACCTCTGCAGTTTATTTGTGTAGGTATGCTCCCACCGCTGTTAGGATTGGTGTTCAAATTTTGACTCAGCAAATTGTGAAAGAACAGTGATGTAGTTCCAAGTGTTGGTGAATATGGTGCCAAACAGGCAGGCTGCTGGATGGCATTGATCTTGTGCTGCACTCATCCAGGCAACTGGTGAATCACATTCCTGACTTGTGCCTTGTAGATGGTGGACAGGGCTTTTAGGGACTCCAGATGAGGTGCTCCAACTTGACAAATATCCATTAACCATTGGTCTGTTTCCTATCACTGTGTCCCTTATTCCATGAGTTAAACTTTACTGTCAGTTTCATCCACAAAACAGACTTGTATCAAATGCTTTTTGCAAGTTCATATATACACCACTTAAACAGAATTACCTCTTCAAAGAATTTCAGGTTAATATTTTTACTACTGTTGAATGCAACTCATTTGATCTTGGCTTTTTTAAATTCATGCACGGGATAAGCACGTCGTTGGTTGGGCTGGCATTTAATTGCCTATCCCTCAGTTCCCTTCAGAATGAGGTGGGTAAGCTATATTCTTGAACTGCTGTAATCCATTTGGAGTGGGTAACCTCACAATGTTGTTATGGAGAGACTTGTGAATTTTGAATCAGAAGCACTGAAAGAAGAACCATGTTTCCAAGTCAGGATGGTGGAGGGGATCTTGCAGGTGGCAATGTTCCCATTTACCTGCAGCTCTTGTCCTTCCAAATGGTAGTTGTCGTGACTTTGGAAGATGCTGTCTAAGGAGCATTGGTGAATTTCTACCCTGCACCTTGGAGATGGTACTGCTACTGTACGTCAGTTCTGGAGTGAGTGAATGTTTGAGCATGTGGTGCCAATCAAACAGGCTGTTTTGGCCTGCATGTTGTCAAGCTTTTTGAGTGTTGTTGGAGCTTCGTTCATCCAGGCAAGTGGAGGGTGTCCCATCACACTTCTGACTTGTGCCTTGTTTGTACTGGACAGGCTTTGGGGAGTCAGGAAGTTACTTATTTGCTACAGGATTCCTAGCCTGTAATCTGCTGCTGTAAACAGTCTTTCTATGGCTAGTCCTGTTCAGTTTCTGGTTGAGGTTAACACCCAGATTGTTGACGGGGGATTTAGTAATTGTAATGCCATTGAATGTCAAGGGATAATGATTAGATTCTGCCCTGTTGGAGATGGTCATTGTAGTCTTGTGACTCGTATTACTTGTGATACTTGCCAAAGCTGGATATTTTCCAGGTCTTGCTCCATTTGGATGGGGATTTTTTTTCAGTACCTTAGGAGTCACGAATGGTGCTAAACTATGTGAAATCATCAACAAACATCCCTACCTTAGACCTGCCCTCTATCAGAAGGTCATTGAAGGTGGTTGGAACTCGGACACTATCCAGAAAGAGCTCCCAAAGATATATCCTGGAACCGAGAAAACTGACCACCAAAACCATAGCCCTGATTCCCATTGACTCCTTGATGCCATAGTGGGTCAAGTATAACCTTGATGTCGAGGACAGTCACTCTCGCCTCACCTCTGGAATTCAACTCTTTTGTCCATGATTGAACCAAGGCTACAATGATGTCAGGACCTGTGTGACTGGTGGTACTCAAACTGAGAGTTAGTGAGCAGATTATTATTAAGCAGGTGCTGCTTGATAGCACTGGTGATATCTTCCATTGTTACTGATGATCACGAGGAGACTGATAAGGCAGTAATTGGCTAGATTGAATTTGTCCTGGCTTTTGCATACAGACATATTTGGGCAATTTCCCACGTTATTTGGTAATATCAGTGTTCTAGCTGTGCTGGAACAGCTCGACTAGGGGTGCAGCAAGTTCTGGAGCACAAGCCTTCAGTTCTACAGCTAGAAAGTTGTTCGGCTGTAATGTCTTTGCAGTATCCTGTGCCTTCAGCCATAGGGTCCATTGTATTTGCGGTGTCCCATGCCTTCAATCATTTCTTGGTAGCATGTGAAGTGAATCGAATTGGCTGAAGACTGACATCTGTAATGCTGGGGACATTGAGAGGATCCCAAGATGCGTCATCCACTTGCCAATTCTGGCTGAAGATGGTTTCAAATGCTTCAACCTTATCTTTTTCAATAATGTGTTGTCTTGCCCATCTTTTGAGGATGTGGAAATTTGTGGAGCTTTCTCCTCCAGTGAGTTGCAGGACCACAGAGCTCAGATCTGGTCTGTTGTTGTTGGATCACTTAGCCTTGTCTATCGTTCACTTGTTACTTAAGCTGTTTAGCAGGCAAGTGGATGCGTGTTCTGACTTCAAGTTAACAGCTCATTTTTATGTTTGTCTGTTGCTACTACCTGTAGGTCTCCATTGTCAATTGTTGTAAAAACGCATCTGGTTCCCTGATGCCCTTTCTGGAAGGAAATCAGCCAACACTACCTAGTCTGCCCTACATATGATTCCAGAGTCTCAGCACTGTGGTTGACTGTTAACTGCCTCTCTAGGCAATGAGGGATTGGCAATAAATGATGTCCTAGCCATAGATGCCCACATACCATGAACCAAAAAAACTTGTTCGGTGCATTTGTCACTTGTCTTATTTTGTTGTTCCTTCCTTACAGGAGTAATGTTGTTCATTTATGATTGGCATGTTGGCTGAGGAAAGAATGGAAGTGATCCCATTTAATTTAGTTTGTGACACTGGAATTACATTTTCACATTGCTTAATCATTCAGAAGTAGCAGATATTGATGTTATGGCATGTGGCTCTATTGCAGTAACTCCATAAAACTATCTTCAGTCAGGAATATTCCGCACTCTGTCTATTTCCAAGCTGCCTCTAATCAATAACACAATAGTCAGTAAAGCTGTTAAAAATAAATACTTGCGTTTTTTTCTTTCATAACATTTCAGGATTATTTCAGCTTGAGGACTAGATCCTTTTTAATTAAACTAAACTCAAATTTTTTGCATATCTAAATATTTTCTTTTGACAGATTCTAGCGAAGGGTGAGTTGCAAGTATCTGATAAGGAACGACATGCACAGCTTGAACAGATGTTCAGAGATATAGCAACTATAGTAGTAGAGAAGTGTGTCAACCCTGAAACTAAGAGACCTTACACCGTAAACCTGATTGAGAGAGCCATGAAGGATATCCACTATTCTGTGAAAGCCAACAGGAGTACAAAACAGCAGGTAAATTAAAATGTATCATTATTTGGATACAATAGTTTTTGATTTTATAGAATGTGTTTTGATGGTCATGGTCCTTACTAGTAAGTGAGATTTCCAAAAGTTATTGTAGGAGTTGTTTGTTCAGTCTGAACAACTACTTTGGATAAATATAACCTGCAGTATTTAAAAATAGGATTTTTGTTTTGCGTTATCAGACTAGTTTCTTTCTGTCTTACAAACCATATTTGCAGTTTTAAACTGCTTAATTGCTTTTTGAGTTTTGAAATGCAAATTTGAGAATCTAATCATTGAGGAACTTTTTTAAGTTTCTCACATTTTTAGTTAAATTTTGGAATGATCCACTTCCCTCAGTTTGTCACATTCTTGTTTCTCAAAGTGCAAATTCTGCTAAGGGCTTTTTTGAGTCATTCTTGGGATTCAGTGGTCACTGGCATTTATTCCTCTTTGCCCATCAGTTGCATTGTTCAGCACATATCATTAGTTTATGTTTCAGAGGGTACTGCAGTATTGGAGGACCCTCAGGTGTCACCAGGAAGAGATTATTTGGTCATTCACATTTGGTCATACACTTGTTATTTGCAGAATCTGACTATATGTTGATTAGCTGGCGATTTGACAGTGTTTAATTGCACTTTGAAAGTAATCCACTAGTTTTAACCAAATAAGTAAAAGTTGAAGCTCTAATAGCAATCAAACCTGTGCAACTGCTATTAAGTATCAGTACTATACTATAATTAAAATAAAATAATTGTTTGAATTAGTTTTATTATAATTTCCTCTTAAATGGATTGAAATTGTCATAAATTCTACCCAATAAAAATGATTTGAAGTAACATTATTTTATTCTTTATAAAGGCACTTGAAGTTATAAGATTGCTAAAGGACAGTATGAAGATTGAACGTGCTCAAATGAGACTCCGGCTCAGGCTCCCAGTAAAGGATGGAAAGCGTCTTAAGGAAAAGCTGAAGCCATTGATTAAAGTGATGGAAAGTGAAGAATTTGCTGAAGATTTAGATATTGTAAGTTTTACTTCAGTTCCTAGGTTATTCATTTTCACTGATGTTTGAGATGAAAACTGCACAATTTTATCCCTATATATATTGATCAAAATATTTTATTGTCGTGTATTTGAAATAGAATATGACTTATTCAGCATTATAGATAAGTGAATCTGAATGTACATAGATTGAGCTGCATAAAGCAGTTAGCAGAACACTGATCAAAGTATCTAAATGCTATTAAATGAAAGAAAAACATAAAACAATGGCCCTGATGATTTCAGGAAGTGAAAGCCTGCTCAGGTGAGTAAAAACAGAAATTATTTAGTGTAAACTGCTTGACTGTCTCTGTTTAATGCTGTGTCAGCACAGGATTCACACATCTGAGACTGGGACAGCAGCTTTGAATCCTCAGCTGGCCTAGACTGGACTGGCAAAAGGATCAGATTTCAACTCCTGATTGCTCATTCTTAGCCCTTGCTAGGAAATATACCAATGGAAATGTTAAGTTGTTACATGTTGGGCCAGCTGTGGTTCTTGCCATCTTCTTGATATAGACTTGCTCTAGCCGCTTGAGCGGAAGCAAACTCCGCAAGAGTTAGCATCTTGTATGGAGGACAGCATATAAGGACTGAGCAACTTAGTTCAGTATATTTTCCCATGTGAGACCTTCAGAAATTAAATTCTGAAGATGAAACATCTGAGTTTTCTTTTAAAGTGCAGAGAAAATCTACAATTCCAAATAAAAGACAGTTTGTGATCTGCGGCAATACCCATAGTTCTTTTTTTTTAAAAGAAAGTGAAGGAAAACAAAAGTAGGAAGACCAAGCATTATATGAAAGGGATAATTTTCTTCAAGATCGGAAAGTGTCTGAGAATGGGTGGAACCGTTTTGTGGATGAAGGTAGGTTATCTCATGCTTGAGAGATGATTGAGAGTTATATGGAGAAAAGCAGACAAAGGCTCGCTGTATCAGAGGGAAATGGGAGACAATTTAAATACCTAGCATCCCAGGAGTGGCTGTATCCAATTGATATTGGTTGAGAGAGATGTGCCGTAAAAATGAGAGGTTCTGAAAATTAACATCTTTGCTGTCTAGAATGTATATATAATACTCAGTTATTAGGATATGAAGACCTTTACCACAACTGGCTACTCAGGCAGATTAAGCATAATTTACAATCAATAATGACTTAGTATTGGGAAAGGATTTTGAGAACAATAGGTTTAATGTAATAGAGTTGGCAGATGTGAAAAGTGCATGTAGCTTTCTGCCAACACTTCTATCATTTCTACAACTAGTTTACATCACTTCTGGTTTTACTTTAGGTGTGTTTGATTGATCCTGGTTGCTTCAGAGAAATTGATGAACTAATCCGACGTGAAACAAAGGGAAAGGCTTCCCTGGAAGTTCTCAGCTTAAAAGACGTGGAAGAAGGAGATGAGAAACTTGAATAAATATGAGAGCCCTACTCATCCAAACTCAATAAACTACTTAAGTCACATAGCTGTGTTAAGTTTTCTTAAACTATACTTGTACCAGTAAGTATTCACTTGTACAAGGTGACCGTATTTCTTCAGCAGAAACTCTCAATTAGTGAATGAAATGGCAATTACAATTTTTGTCCTTAACCACTTATTTAACTTTTTTTTTCTGAAGTGTGTTCTGATTGAGTTTTCCTTTTCTTACAAATTAATTATTTAATTAAAATATGTATTGAATCCTGGAATTGTGCTAATTTTTAATCATTCATTTAAATGATAATGGAGTCGATCTGATAAATGCGATTGCTTTGTCCTGGATGAGGATGTTTTGAATGTAGTTGGAGCTGCATTTCTCCAGGGGAAAATATAATATCTTGTCCCTTTATAAGTGATGGAAAATCTCTGCAGAGTTAGGTAAGTCACTTACTGCAGAACACGCTTTCCTTTTACATGCTCTTGTAGCTATTGTTCAAACCGAATTGGTCCTGTGTAGTTTCTTGTCAAATGTGATCTTTTGGGCACTGGGGTATTTAACTAAGGTAATAACATTGAATTTCAGGGAAAGGTGACTTTACACTTAAGTGACGCAGTTGTTACATATTATTTATTATCCCAAAGCTGAATGTTATCCAGATCACCTGTCTGGGTATAACTGCTTCACTTGCTTAAGAATTGCAAATTGAACTGAATTTCACAAACTGACTTTATGATGAGAAGAAGGTGAATGATGAAGTAGGTGAAAATGGTTGGGTCCAAGACAATGCCCTGACCAAGTCATGCAGTATCGGCTATTGGCCGAGTGGTATGTTCAGTTTGTTATACTTCTCTGTAGAGGCTTGATACAGCCGAGTAGCTTACCCAGCCTTGCTGTGGATATTGAGTTAAATAGTCAGTAATGGTGATGCTGAGCCTCCCTTGATTGTGGCTATTTGAAGTGCCTCGTCCAGAGTACATTCTGCACCCTTGCTATCCTCAATGATTTTTTCCAATTGCTCTTCAACATGGCGTACTGATTGATTGGGGACTCTATAGTAATCAGCACGTTTCTTTGCCCATGTTGGATGTCATACCATGAAACCTCATGCTGTCTGGAGCCAATGTGGAAGACTCCTGGGCTATCTCTCTCTTGATTGTGTGCTACTCTGCTGCCACCTCTCCTGTGTTTGTTCTCCTGCTGGAATGGGTCATTCCCAGGTATGGTCCTTGTGATGTCGGCGATTATTGTAAGGCATTATTCTGAGTATGAGTGCATTAGGATATTGCTTGACTAGTCTGAGAATCAGCTCTCCCAATTTTGGCACTAGCCCCTGGACGTTTGAAGGGTCAAAAGGGCTGTGTTTACTGTGGTTTCCAGTGCCTTAGTCAATGCTAAGTGGTTTGTCTGATTTCTCCTTTCCAGCAGTTGATAGAGCTTGTGGCTTAGTCGGCCATTTCAGAAGGTTAAAAGCCAACTACATTACTGTGGATCTGGCCAGACCAGCTAAGGATGATGGTTTCATAGTCATCATTTGAGTTTTAAATTCTCATTTTATCAAATTCAAATTCCACTATCTGCTCCGGAGTAAATAAGGCCCCAGAACGTTACCTGAGTCTTTGGTTTGCTAGCCTAGTAACAATGACATTAGACTGTTGCCTGCCCAAACTTGCCACTAGCCAAGCAGTTCCTGTACAGCTACAACAATGGTATCTAGCTGACAGGGTGGAAATTGCCCAGCTATGTCCAGTACACACACAGTTGGACAAATTCAACTCCGAGAGTAGACTGGGGCAATAATTAACAATCATCAGTAATGTTATGGAAGGTGTCATTTAATAGCATGAGCAAGCAGCACCTGCTCACGAGTGTTCATTTTTTGGTTCTGCCAGGGCCACTCTGAACTCCAGAGATAAGGTGATAGTGTCTACCGTTGACATCAAGGATGGCATTAAGGATCCCTAGCAAAACGAGTCAAAGGGACTTTTGAAGGAAGATGGTTGTAGTTGTTGAAGGTTGATCATCTGAACACCAGGACATCTCTGTAGGTGTTCCTCAGGATAGATACAGTGTAATCAACTTGTACAATGACATACCCCTGGAACAGGCGGAACTTGAACTGAGATCTCCTGAATCTGACGGAGGACATTACCACTGCACCATAAGAGCAGTAAAATGACAAGAGCAGTTCTATCAATTAGTCAGGCAAGACTAGTCTCTCTCTCACACCGCCTACCCCCCACCAACCAAGCCTTCGAAACTCCATTGAGTACAAATCCAGAGTCCTCACTGCTCCTCATAATGACAAGTCCTTCAATTCAATCCCAGAATCATTCTTGTAAACCTCCTCTGGACCCTCTCCAAGGCCAGCATTTCCTTCCGTTGATCTGGGGCCCAAAACTGCTCAGTCTTCCAAATGCGGTCTGACCAGAGCCTTACACAGCCTCAGCAGTACATCCCTGCTCTTGTATTGTAGCCCTCTCAAAACGAATGCTAACATTGCATTTGCCTTCCTAACTGTTAACTCAACCTGTATCTTAACCTTATGAGAATCGTGAACTCCTAAACCCCTTTTGTGCTTCAGATATCTGAAGTCTTTCCCCATTTAGGATAGCCTACATCTCTATTTTATTAAAATGCATAACTTCATACTCACCCACATTATATTCCATCTGCCACTTCTTTGCCCATTCTCCATTCTCCCATCCTATCCAAGTCCTTCTGCAGCCTTTCTGCATCCTCAACACCACCTTTTCTTCATCTATCTTTATATCAGCTGCAAACTTCGCAACAATGCCCTCACTTTCCTTTTCCAGATCATGAATATAGTAATGGTCCCAACACTGATCCTGAGGAACTCCACTAATCTCTGGCTGCCATCCTGAAAAAGACCCTTTTATTCCCACTCCCTGCCTTCTGCCAGTCAGCCAAACCTCTATCCAGGCCATCACTTTGCCTCTAACATCATGGGTTCTTATTTTGCAGCCTCGTATGGCACCTTGTCAAAGGTCTCTGGAAATGCAAACAGATAACATCCACTGGCTCTCTGTCCAATTTGCTTGTTACCTCCTGAGAATTTGAACAGCTGTGTCAGGCATGACCTCCCCTTGATGAAGCTATGCTGACTCAGCTCTATTTTACCATGCACTTCCAAGTACTCTGCAATCTCATCCTTAATAATGGACTCTAAAATCTTACCAATGACTGAGGCTAGGTTAACCAGCCCGTAGTTTCCTGTTTTCTGCCTCCCTTCCTTCTTAAATAGGGGTATTACATTAACCATTTCCAGTCCTTTGGGCTTCTCCCTGACTCCAGTGATTCCTGAAAGATGACCACCGATACCTCCACAATCTTCTCAGCTATCTCCTTCAGAATCCAGGGGTGTATTCCATCTGGTCTGGGTGATTTATCCACCTTCAGACCTTTCAGTTTCCCTAGCATTTTCTTCTTTGTGATAGTCACTACACCCACCTCTGCCCACAAGTTCTTGAATTTCTGGTGAAGACAGTTGCATAGTATGTATTCCTCTGCCATTTGTTTATTCACCATTACTATTTCTCAAGCCATGATTTCCAGCAGACCAAAGTCCACTTTTGCCTCTCTCTTACCTTTTTATATATCTTTTAAAAAAAACCTTTTGCAATCTTCTTTTATATTACTAACACATTTCATCTTCTCTTTTTCCTCCCCCCACCATTTTTTTTTCCATTGTCCTCTGCTTTTAAAGACAGTTCTTTGAAGTTTGCATCATATGTAGACAGGGTGGCTAAAAAAATGTTTAGCACACTTGCCTTCATTGCTCAGACCTTTGAGTATAGGAGTTGAGAAGTCATGCTGAGGTTGTACAGGACATTGAGGCCTTGTCTGAAGTACTGTGTCCACCTCTGGTTGCCCAGATATAGGAAGGATATCATTAAGCTGGAAATGGTTCAGGAGAAATTTACCAGGATGTTGCCGAGTATGGAAGGTTTGGGTTATAAAGAAATGCTGGATAGGCTGGGACTCTTTTTTTCCCCCCCCACCACATACACACCCACACACACAATCGCGCTTGGGAGGCTAAGAGGTGACCTTATAGAAGTTGATAAAATCATGAGGGTTATATATAGAGTTAATGGTAATTGTCTTTTTTCCCTAGGGTGGGGGACACATTTTTAAGGTGAGAGGATATTTTAAAAAAGACATGGGGCAAATCTTTTACAGAGGGTGGTTCACATGTGGAATGAACTGCCTGAGGAAGTGGTGGATGTGGGCACAATTACAATATTTAAAAGACATGGATAACTACGTGAATAGGAAAGGTTTGGAGGGATATGGACCAGGAGCAGGCACGTGGGATTAGTTTAGTTTGGGATCAGGTTCAGCGAAGACTGGTTGGACCGAAGAATCTGTTTCTGTGTTCTGTGACTCCGACAATAACTTCCCAATCCTCTGGCTTCCCACTAATCTTCACCACATTGTATGATTTTGTTTTTGCTTTCATGCTGTCCCTAACTTTCCTTTGTCAGCCATGGTCATCACATCGTCCCCTTATTATGTCCCTTTTTTCATTCATGCGCTGAATTTCTGCTGGCCTCCTGAATTACTCCTGTAAATTCCTGCCATTGCTGCTCCACTATTTTCCCCACGAGGCTCCCTTTCCAATCAACTCTGGCCAGCTCCTCCCTCGTCTTTGTAGTTACCTTTACTCAATTGTAATACAGTTACCTCTGATTCAAGCTTCTCCCTCTGAAACTGCAGAGTGAATTCTATCATATTATGGTCATTGCCACCTAGAGATTCCTTTATCTTAAGATCCCTAATCAAATCTGTCTCATTATACATCACCAAATCCAGAATTGCCTGTTCCATATTGGGCTATCCCCAAGCTGCTCCAAATAAAAATTTCAGACAGTCCACAAACTCCTTTCTTGGGATCCATTACCAAACTGATTTTCCAAGTCCACCTGTATGTTGAAGTCTCCATGATTACTGTAATAGTGCCTTTTCTACTTCCTGATTTATTTCCTATCCCACATTTTGACAATTGCCAGGAGGCCTATACGT